GAAAACCAAAATGAAGTGAAAAATTATTGGTTAATAATGGAATATGCTGATGGCGGTTCACTTAGAAACTATTTAAAGTATAATTTTGATAATCTTGCTTGGGGGATATATACAACTTGGCGCACCAGTTGGTTTGTGCTGTATCGTGTTTGCATGACGAAGGAATTGTACATCGTGATTTGGTAACATGTCTAATTCTGTTTTTTATGAACATTTATTTTTAATAATTAACAATAAGTTTTTTTATATATATGAATAGCATTCTGGAAACATATTAATCCATCAAGGCGTTATTAAACTAGCAGACTTTGGTTTATCAACAAGAATTGAAGCAGAAACTAATCAGCCAAAAGTTTTTGTGTGATTCCTTATACCGATCCAAAAAGTTTTATTAGAGAAAGTAAAAATGACAATTCATCACAACGATATAAACTAAACAAAAAGAGTGACGTTTACAGTGCTGGCGTACACTTGTGGGAGGTATCAAACGGACGTCCTCCTTTTTTCGTTAAAGGTGAAGAATATGACATTGGTTTAGCTATAGAAATATCACAAGGACTTAGAGAAAGAATCGTTCCCGGTTCATCTAAAGATTATGTAAACATATATACCGGTAATATATTATCTTAAATTTAATTAATAATGCAAATTTTATGCTTACGATTATTAATTTTTTTTTTTATGATTTTAGGGTGTTGGGATAATGAGCCAGAAGATCGCCTGATCATGAACACAGTGGCCAACCTCTTTAACTTATCTCTATAGCTCTTTTATTCCAATAACTATTCTGCCAACTTTACCCATCTTCTTAATGGAATTTAATTGTTCTTTTACTTTACACAACTTCTTAACGGTACTTGATTGCTCCAATACTCCATTAACTATCCTACCTACTTTATCCAATTCTTTAAAGATACTTAATTGCACTGGTACTCTAATAACTAGCTTACCAAATTTACCCAATTCTTTGATGGATATCAAACCTCAAACTTTAAAAACTTAATTCTTTCATAACTATCAAACAAATCTACTAAACTAATTCCAAATTATTTATGTATATGTTTTTATTTGGTGTAAATGAACTACTATAACATATATATATGAAAATAAAGATCAAAATATTTAACTTTTTAATAAGCGAATACATTTCATGCATGATTTTTTTTAATGAATATTTATAATAATACATATACAAGTACATTACATAGGACATGCCACATGACCGCCAACATCATTTTTTTAAATAAAATGTAATGATCAATCGTTCATTTTGTTTATTTTTTTACGAGACGTGTATCAATATTATTAATTTTTTTTTTAAAAATAAAAATATTTTAAGATTTGAAAGTTACAACGAACATGGTAAGTTGCCACCCCGACTTCGCTTTGCCCCTACTTCGAACGCTGTACCTTCTTATATTTCCTCATCTTCTACATCTGTTTCTATAGCTGTAGCTTTTTTACCTTCCTCCAGACGATAGTACCTCAGAAAGTGCAATATCTATATTTTTTTTTAAGTTTATTTCCAATATGTAGATTTTTTTTAGATTCACGGGGCAGAACCCAAGTGTTAGTGACATGCCGATAGTCAGATACTTGGACTCATCCACAAATAAATATCATAAATAATTAAGAAATAATATTATAAAAAGCCATCTGTTTCAAAGATAACGTGTTTTCATCTTAGCTCCTTATTCATATATAAATATAAAAATCCTCAGGTTCTTAAAATCATTGATAAGAAATCTTGTAGATAATATTGTGCTTCTTTTTTCTTGCCTTATAATTAATAAGATAGCTTTTTTTAAAAAAAGTATTTATTATAGAAATTTCAAAAACATATATTCAAAAAATTACACATAATTTTTAAATTAACTAATTCTAGTTTATAGTTTATTAATAAATAAGTTTAATTAAACTTTTTAAAAATTTATTTTTGTTGTAGATATCTTTGTAAATCGAATCATGAATTATAATCGGTTAATCAATCGAAGCCTCACCTCATGTATTGTATTCCAAAATGTTCAATCCAAAATTTTCGATATCGATGTGATATTACGCGTAATATTTTGTTCTATGACAATATGACACGTAATGTTTATAATGAGTTTAACCTTTTTTCAGATGGAATTAGGTAAGTTTTAAGAAGGAAGCCGAGGGAGTAAAAAATATTAAATAAAAAAAAATCTTATATTTATTATTTTTTGTAAATGCCTAGAATAAAAATACAGAGGTCGTTAAGTAAAAAGAAGTAAATGTTTGAGAAATTAAACGATCTAAAAGGATGGAGGTAGGTAAATAAATAAGAAGAGAATTGGAAAAGTAAATAAAAAAAATTATATATCTTTAGTAAACAACCAAATATACAGTTCCACTAACTGCGCTGAATTTCAATGTATCACATTTAATATAAATTTATTTATGACAGTTTAAAACTATATTGTGTAAATAAGAAAGAAACAAATAATGGAGGAAATATAGGAATATATATATACGATATATCATTGTTATTAATCTTTATATTTGTTTTTTAATTATTAGTTAATTTGTAAAATAGATGGTTTTTGTGGATTTAATATTTTAATTTACTTTAATTTGCTTTGTTTTTTTTATTTGTTTTTAAATATTTATATTTAATTTGCAATTTTTGAAATTAATTTTGCTTTTTTTGTATTTGTGGTGAAAAATGAAAATTATAAATGCTAAGCCGCAGTTATTTTGCGCCAGTATTCATAAATTTTAATTGCTTTTTTTAATTTTTACTTTTTTAAATTTTCTTATTTTAATTTTTTCATTTAGTTTATTTTTACTTTAATTTTATTTTACATTTTCAATTAGCATTGTTTAATGCTATATTTTATTTTTTTCATTTTACTTTATTTTTAAATGTTTTTTACAATTTTTTTCATTTTGCTTTAAAAAAAATATCCAAAAAATTTATTATATTCAAATGAAATTAATAAATTAAAAAAACCTTTAACTAATATTTCTATAGAAAAATCAAAAAAAAAATGAAGAGCTTATTCTTTCCTATTATTATACAAAAATAAATAAAAATTTTGTGAAATGGTTGATGTGTATTAAATTGTAACAAAAACTTTAATACCCTATAAATAATTAGTATAAGGAAAGTATACGAAAATAATACGTTTAATAAACATATAAAAAACATAGACAAACAGTATAATAAATTCGTAAATATTTCCGTATACAAGATACTGAAAATTGACTTTTTTCGTATGCAAAAAAATACAGAATTTATACGTCTAATCAGTATATTGTATACGTAATTTTACATAGATTTTATACGTCTAATCAGTATATTG